CAGATCAGTTCAACGCATCATGTGAGAAACACCTAATTACGTGTTGGACAAAAAAAAAAACTAAACTTGTCGTATATCTTGAAATTTTGGGACAATTGGATACACAACATGCCCTATCATGGATTCATGGCATGGTAGTGCAAATGCACAGGTTATAACTATTAATGTGATTAAAAAAATAAAAATATAACATAAAAAAATATATATCTTATATATAAAGTGAAAGGGTCTTTTGGGTGATAAATTTCACTATCCCCAAATTACCCTTCTCAAGTTGCAAAATTATCAAAAAAAGAAAAAAAACCCTATCATAACTACCCAATAATAACCACTCCCTTCCACATAAATTTACATATTCAACTATTCTCACTCCCCATAAAATATAAAACCACTTTATTATTTTTTTTCATCTAATTTCTTATATTGTACACGCGTAGCGTGTATCTCTTAACTTGTATAAATAAGAAGAAAAGAAAATATGATGTCATTTTTTATTTGAGGTAATAAAATATCACATTTTAAATTATTGATAGGAATGTATGTAATTAAAAAAGATAAAAGTAGTGAAACTTATGGTGAAATTAAAAAATTGAAGGGCACATAATTTAGGGGAAAAAATGGGCAATTATACTATGGATACATTGTAACATTGGTGTGTCTAAAAAGAAATTTATTGGATAATATAATTAAATAGGTAGAATTTGGGGGTAGTATGTACTATTAGAAAAAATATTAAAATAATAGTGAAAAAAAAACCAAATAATTATTGATTACTTACACAAACAAATTGAAATATAAATCAATAAATCATGAAATGTTAAACATACGCACATCGAATTTAGAGCAGAAAAAACAGCTATACTTTATTTATCTATAAACATGAAACTTGCATGACATATATCTTATATGTGTATAATAAAAGTATAATAAAGTTAAAATATATGTAAATTATATTGTTACCTCTACCTGGAAGGATAAGCAAATCCTATAAACTAAAAGCCAAAAACATACTACATAAAGATCCCAAAATCCTAGAAAAATTAAGCTAACAAAATATTAACAGAAATTCCCCAAATCATTTTAAACTAATTTGGGACAACCAATTAATCAAAATTAAATCTTGATAAATCTATACGACCAAATTACTTCGATTTACCATTTAACAAAGGTTAATGACAAAATCCAAGAAATATCTAATAGAGAATTAAAACTTATCTTGACAATTATACTCTTTCTCTGTTACGATTACGAAGTATAAGACCTTTGTTGTTTTGTTTTTTTTTTTTTATTTTTATTATTATTATTATTATTATTTTTTTTTTCTTTTTATATGTATGTATTATTCCATGTATTCTATCCCAAAGTTGATTTTTTTTGTTGTTTTTGTGGTTAACTATGAATAGTGAACACTATAGTAGCGATCTAAACTTTCATAATTTATGTGTAGTTAAGGAATAATGTATGTAAGGCTAGTGTAAATGAAAGTGGAGTTGAATGATGATGACTTGCAAGATAAATGCATTTAGGGCCTGTTCATACTGAGCTGAACTAAACTGAACTGAACTTATTGGAGCTGAACTGAACTGATTGGAGCTTAACTGAACTGAACTGAAAAATTAAAATGCATAAAAATATATAAAAATGTTTATGAAAATTAGTAATAATATATATAGTGGATTGTGAAAAATATAAAAGTGTTTTAAAAAATAACTCTGTATTTTAAATTATTATATTTTAAATTATTAAATTTTTGTGTATTATATTTTAAATATATATATATATAAATAAAAAGTATTCTTCAGTATTTTGCGGTTCTGAAAAATAGGTGGAAGGTTCTACAACCTAATTCGATGCCGCAAATGGACTTTTGCTATCAATTGCAAATAATCGTTGCTTGTTGTACTCTACACAATTTTGTTCGTTTACATGAACTGGGGATTCCATTCACGCACCAAGTTGAAGTCATGGGACCAAGAGAAGATCATACTATGTACGATGATAACAGAAAAGCAGATATGGATATTGTATGAAACCAAATAACTGATCAGATATGGGAGTCAATTCAGAGGAATGCCGAGGTAATGGAGCAACTTAATAAAGAAGAAGAAGACGAACAACTAACCGATTATGAAAGCTAGTAACTGTTGTGTAGTACTCTCATTTTGTCAATGAGTTCAACTATAAGAAAACATGTGACCATTTTGAACGACGAATATAATTTAAAATAATAATAAGAATAATTATTATTATTATTTTTATTTTTATTATTATTATTATTATTATTATTATTATTATTGTTATTATTATTATTATTATTATTATTATTATCGTTGATGTAATATGCTAAAACATCTAAAACAAAAAAATTAACAACTGAGCTGAACTGAACTGAACTGAACTGAACTAAACTGAACTGAACTGATTAGAGCTGAACTGAACTGAACTGAACTGAACTGAAAATAACTAAATTTGAACAAGCCCTTAATCTATTATGTTGTTGTTGTCTTTTTTTTTTTATTATTATAATTAGTTAATTTTAGATAAGATTAATTTGATTGGAGAGTAGTTAGCAGATGAGTAGTTGGGTGTATAGTGTATTCTATGTATATTCCTTTTTTTTTAATTAAAGGAAAATGAGGGAGTAGTTTTCTAGGTGGGAGTGAATGAGGAGGCTTGGTTGGGATTTTGGAAGCTCATCATATTTTTTTCCCCGAGTTTTGAAAATTTCCTTGTCTCTCGACAATTCATTTTTCTCCTTACTACCACTTCGCCTCTCTCCCAAACACTTCTCCTCTTTTCTTGTATTTAAACTTTTACGACGATCTACCTTCTCTAGTAACTACCACTACCCTAAACACCACCCCTTGTATTATTTATAGTTCATAATTTTGTACCAATACCCCTAAAATTTGAATTACTCTCTCCGTCCCTTTATTAGATGTGTACTTTTTTTTATAATGTGAGTAATAAATGCTAGAAATAGAAATCTAATAAAGGGACGGAGGGAGTAGTGTTTTATTGTGACTATAAACTATTTTATGACTTATTTATTGTTTTATTCATGATACAATTAACACTGTTTAATTACTTATTTACTGATGATTTAATTTTTAGTTACGACATTTATTTTATTCTTATCATACTCTGTCCTTCCCTTATTTATAGTCCCTTAGGGCTAATTTTAAGTCTTAAAATGATGGTCTCATTTGATTTTTTTCAAGTATTATTAATATAAATTTTTTACTAAAATTCCCTCCAATTTACAACAATGTTCATGCAAATTTAACTTTCCCATGTAAATTTGTTTTTTTCCATGTACTTTTATTAGTTTCTCTCAATACTTTTTTGCATACCTAATAAAAATTTACTTTTTCAATAACTTTCACTACTTTATTTATGTTTATTAATTCCGATGAAAATTGCCCATAAAGAATTATATCGATAAGGAACGGAGGGAATATAAAAATAACAAAGTACATTGGAAATATATTCGTATTATGTCTTTGATAGAGATTAGGACTGCATTATATTGATCACTTGTGTAGGGCTAATGAGTCCAGCGATATACGACGGTAATACGGACATGCATAACTAAGTACATATGGTCCTTATTGGCTCACAGAAAATGGTCCCTAAACTATATTAAATGATGCAGCAAACCGAATCCGATTCGACCAACTTGGCGGATCTATTTGGCCTAAGTGTCGTCAAGTTGCAACGTGTAGAAATTTTGAAGGGATGTAAGATAAGTCCAAATCAAATCTATGGTAAAGAAAATTCAATTTATCGCCCAATACAATGTTAGATCAACTTTACTTGATGATTTGTAGCACTAAATTTACTTTTTATTCAACACAAGGTTATTCGCGCTTAGTTTTGTAATGATTTAGGAGGGTGCTGGTATTGCAAGAGCAATTAATATATATACAGTGGCGGATCTAGAATTTTTGAGTTGGTGAGTCATCAATCTCATCATCATTTATTGATCACATATGAAAGTTAAAAAAAAAAAAAAAAAATTGGGTCTAGTTTATAATTGTTTAATTTTCAATCCAAAAATTATATTTTAAAAAAACCATGTTACAACCAAATTGATTTCAATCCAAAAATAGAACACAAAAATTATACTACAACCAAATAGTACTTAAAAAATTCATTTACAAGCCAAAGTTACCACAAACAACATCTAAGTACCCATCACCTTAAAGACTTGTCTCTTAATACAAGCCAAATTATACTACAGCCAAAAATTGACCTTAGAGGCTTAGAGACTGGTTGTTTAAACAACTGGTCTCTTTTAATTGCAAAAATAAAAAGCGGAAGTGGTTGAGTGAAAGTTATTTGTAATAACTGGTCTCTTTGATTTTTTTTTATTTTTATTTTTTTGAAAATTTCAACTTTTTTTGGGGGGGCTGCTGGTGCACGTGAACCAGTGTGCTCCAATGTAGTAATAATGCAACATTCACTCAACCACTCACGCTAATTTAAGTTGGTATGTAGTAGGGAGATGATAAATATGATTTGTGTGACTTAGTTCCATTTTAATAACCTCTTGAAACCCTATTTGATGTATTATCACATATTTTTGTGACTTTTTCTCATAGTTATTTTGGTGTCCATAAAGTATTAATTTTTTTAAAATAATATATTCTTTGCTTCCCAAACTAATTTTGATAGACATAAAATAACAACAAAGAGAAACAAAGTGTAAACTCACTAATATTGCATGAAAAAAAATTAGATACACCATATATATCATAAGCTATTCATGAGCTTAGCCAATAATAAAAACCTTGCCTAAAAGCTCAATCTAAATAAACTTACTTACATACATATAGGTACATCTACGAAAAAGCATAAAAATTAAAATTAAAAAGACTTGTAAATCAACAATAGGCACATAAAAAATCGTACCACATTGCTGAATTACATTCAAATTTATTTGAACAAAAATAGGTACTCGACCACCTTAATCAACTTAAGTTCTTGGAGAAAAATACTTGGACATAATTGACGACGAACCACTACTATTAGTATCATAGTTTTTCATGTTTGAGGAGGTAAATGAGTGGGAATAACTGAGCTCCTTCTCTTGATCTTCATAAATCGTATCTAAGACAACATTGCTTGAAGCACGTCGAAATTTGATGATATTCACAAATTGTGGTGGTGCAACATCTATTGCTATCCTTGCTATTCTAGCGGATGCCATTTTCCTTATAATTTGTGAGTAGGAGAAGAGAGAGGTACAATGAACTAGAAAAAATGTAATAAGATGTAAAAGAAATGAATGAAGATTATAAAAGATGGTGTTTGTTTCTTTTTTTTTCGCTTTGGTTTGTTTGATGACATAAGAAAGAAAAAAGGGTGGTTTTATTGGCAAATTTTAGTTGAAATGTCGTTATAAACATTGCCGCCTTAAGCTTTACGTATTAAATGCAAAATAAGAGGATGATTCTTAGCAATTTAAAATGATGGAAAGTATGAGGGGTAAAACGAGTAACGTGGCAAATGTATCAAAATCCAAATATCAAACTTGTTTTTTTGTTTTGTTTGTTTCGAAAGTTTCATGTTTCGCCTTTTTCGACGTGTTAGGGTAGGACTATCATACTATGGAGTGGACGTTAGAATGCCAGCGTATAATTAAGTTAAGGGGATATTTTGACCCTTGAGAAAATAAGGAGTTTATTGGGACTTTTGTAAAAAAATTACTCTCTTCATCCCTGAATTACATTCCTACTTGTTTTTATTATGTGAAGATTAAATGCTAGAAATAAGAATGTAATTAAGGGACGGAGGGAGTGAACAATTTATTAAAGTGTTGTAAAATTCATACAAAATAAAAAATCAATAAAAGTATTTTTACTCCGTAATTAATATTATCGTTATCCCTCAAATAAAATTATTAATATAGTAAATTACACATTAAGAAACATTATATAAAAAGTTTATCAATTTAAATATATTATAATTTGATAAATAATATAATGTGTATTGTAGTTATAAACTTATAACACATAGCTCTAACAACAATCGTATAACTAATATATAAAGCTAAACTTATTTCACAAAAGCTCATGTAACAATAATATTTTTTATGTACTTACCTCCCTCCGTCTCTTTATTAATGTTCACTTTCTTTCTATTATGTGGGTAATAAATGATAGAAAGTGGACATTAATAAAGAGACAGAGAGAGTATTAAATTAAATTTTCAATGAATATACATTTATAAGTCTGTTACAGTGTATTTTTATATAATGAAAATTGTTTTAAAAGGTAATTCAAAATGAGATCGATTTAAGATAATTTAAATTAACTAATAATAAATGGTTCACAACCTTATATAATTGTTCTATTGCCAGAGTTTGAAGACTTAGGGAAAAATCAGTCATACATATATAAAATATTTCAAATTTATATCAACCTCCCATTTAGCTACCATGTCGGTAGTTGTATTACCCGCTTGTCAGAACATGAGTACTCCGTACTATTTAAACACATTTAAATCACACCTTATCCTAGAAATATCATTCAATTACATAAAAATAGGTGCAACTCTAAATCGATTTTTTCGAATTGCTTTGACTATGCTAATAGCAATATTTTCAAAAATTACCAGATTGCTCAAGCTCTTTCTCAAAATCACCCACAACTTTATGAGCGGTAAAACTATATTTTTATTTTACAAATATGATTGTCAAGTAGTGATTATTAATCCACGAGTCGAAAATTTGAATAGCATATATATATATATATATATATTTTTTTCTTATATATAACGTATTTATTAGGGTAATGTTATATGTAGCCCTATGGGTTATATATAAGTATTAAATATACTCTTGAAAATTGTATAAAATTAGGAATTCATGACAAAAACCCGCGTAAATCGGTGTAATTAGTGTTTATATTTTTTTGATTTCCTAGCTTTATACGATTTTCTAGTGTATATTTAATGTTTATATGTATCCCTAAGGGCTATGTATATCATTTTCCATTTATTTATTATATATATTACACTCTTACAAAATTAAATGGTAGCCTACGTCGAAATATACTACTCCCTACGTCCCCGATTGATAGTCACTTTTGAAGAAAAATCACGGGAATTAAGGGGAATTAAAAAAAAGTACATTGAAAAAGTAAATTTACATTGAATATGCAAAAAAGTAGAGAGAGAAAGTAATTAAAGTACATGGGAAAGTTAAATTTACATGGGAAAGTTAAGGGTTCGTTTGATATCGCTGTGGTTTTCTGTTTTTTGGTTTTTTAGATTTCAAACTCACATGATATATGTCATATTATAAAACAAAAATATGACAAACTTATTAAAATCATGATAAATTTGAAAATTGACAACAGAAAAGTGGAAACACCTTTTTCTTGTTTTTTGTTTTTGGTTTTTTGTTTTTAGAAATACAGAAAATTGAAAACAAAAAACAATGCCAAACAAGCCCTAAATTTGCACAAATATTTTTGCAAATGTTAGAGAATTTGGTAAAAAAAAATCATATTTATGGTAATTGAAAAAAGCAAATGTAACTAACATTTTGAGTCACCAAAAATGACAAAAGTGACTATCAGTCGGGGACGGAGGGAGTAAATAAAAAGGTATTATTATACCTCTTACAACAGTGTTTATATAATGATATGTTTTAAAATTTGGCATATAATTAAAAAGTATAATCTTATAATTGAATAAATTATTCGGGCATCGCACGGGGCAGAAAACTAGTTTAAGGTAAAAGCAATGTAAAACATATTATCATTATTCATAGGTAGTGTATTTATACAAACTTTATAAGATAACATATACTCCATCTGTCCCCATTGAATTGTCACTTTGTCATTTTGGGTGACCCTAAATATTTGTCATTTTTCACATTTTTAGATTAAATAATACACATTAAATCACAATTTAAACCTCATAATTTTTTATCCTTATTATGAGGTCTTCATATTTCACCCTCATATAGTTTTTACCCTCTTTAATTGTTGGTCTCCCTTTGAAATTTGTAACTATTTCTTTCTCTTTCTCTATCAAACATTTTTAGCTTAGTCCTTAATATGTGTAGTGTAATTCTATACTATTGGATGATATATATGTAATTATTTCTTGTAATGTTATTGGTTAAAAATAAATAACATGGATTACTAATGTGGTCCTTAATTTTCATTGATTGTTTAATAAATCACATGGATTACTCTCTCTCTCTCTCCCGGGTTTTTAAAAGGAGGAATGTTAGGCATGTAAAAATACATAACAAAGGATATTCATGTAATTATACATATATACAAACGAATGCATATTTTGGTATCATTGGATGATCAAATGGTACCACTAAATGTACAGTGATATTATGTGTGCACACAATTGTATTATTTATGCATTCAGCTGTACTAATTTTATGCATAAATAGTACCACTGAGGATTCAATGGTACTATATAAACTTTTATTGGAACAATCAGCATGTGGTCCCCCATCTGCATCTCGTAATACAATCCGACCAAAAAATAGGTGCGGTTTACCTACAGACCTCTCTCTTCCTATCTCTCTACCATGTGTTTTTAAAATATTTTAATCAATGTTATGTATTTACAAATGCATAACATTCCTCCATTTCTACTTCGTCCTCTCTCTCTCTTTCTCTCTCTCTCTTTTTTTTTTTTGTAACTGATTGGGTCTTAGTTCCCATGTACTTCCTTATTTTCTCCTTAATTCATGTGATTTTCTATCAAAAGTGATAATAAAATGGGGATGGATGGAGTAAAAGGAAACAATTTTCCTTATATGACTGTTACTTTAGTGATACGACTCACAAAATTCATCCATAAATATCAATACAAAATTTTAAATAAGGCGTTGTTCACTTACCTTGTTTTTTAAAAACTTAAATTATTATAGTTGATTCTTTGTAATATTTCTTCTTTAAAGTTACTGATCTTTGTAATATTATTGTTGATTTTTACTTCTTCTTCAAAAAAAAAAAAATTACTGATTTTAATTGAACTTAAATTATTCCTACTGAATTAAATAATTTTAGTTGAATTGAAATGATATTATTTTTATCGAATTGAAATTATTTTTACAGAACATTAAATTGAATACGACATAATTAGGGGTAGAAGAATTAGCCTACATTGAATGATCCTAAATCAATGAGTTTTGTATGCTACTAGTCACACGGTCACACCATGAAGCCGATTGTAAAAGAATAAAGTAAGCCCTATAACATTGATCAAGTAACATCTGTACGTAATACCAACCGAATCACCCCTAAAACACGGACAAAAAGTAAACTTTGTACACTAACCGAATAACCCCTATGACACTGGCGTGGTAAACCTCGGTAACAATGAGACCCGATAACCCCTATAATAATAATGAATGAATGAAGTAACCCAACAATGGCTATCCACACGGTGTAATTTATTTATTTTCAATTGATAAAGTTGTTCCACGTAAAAGAGTGAAAAATCAATGATATTTTGGATAATGATCAATCAATAACCAATAACTATATACTAAAGGTAAAATCAAGGATGACACATGTCAGTAAGTCATCTTGTTAAAAAAATTTATGATATTTTTACTTTTTTTTTCTTTTGTCTTTTTCAATTTGCCTTTCATTAAAATTATTTTACAATATTCTATATTTTATTTAGAAAAAAACAAATATTAGGTAATAAGTTATAATAATATAATTATAATAAGATTTTATTATGATAATATATTAGGATTGATGTGTATTTTGGTTTATAATACACTATATATTTATTAATTTGAAAAATTCCAAAAAAAAAAAAACAATTTTTAGCCCATTCTTTTTTAATAATAAAAACTTTGATTATTTTTTTGTGAATGATACTACCTTTAGGGGGTGTTAATTTTAAACAGAATAAAATCGGATATATCCGGTACGATGGATGTTGAGGTTAGGAAAGAGAAGGGGGTGAGTTTTTGGTTGCTGAGATGGGAAGGAGGGAATATCCCCTCCCTTTCTCTCACTTAAAAACCCTTCGAATATCTGCTTTTGTTTTGTTTAAAATTAAAACCCCTAAAGGTTGTATTATTAAAAGATAATTAAAAGGTTGTATTATTAAAAAGAGTGGGTAAAAGTTGTATTATTTTTGGCAATTTTTCCTTATTAATTTACTATATGAAATCCCGTACAATGCACAATTTTAATTTAATACATAAATTCCAAT